GTCTCTAGGATCTTCATCTAAGTTCTGACTCCTATTGTCTTGTTACATCTGTATTTATACCAGTTGATTCCAATCCTATCAATCTCTATTCCAAAGGGTAGGGTGTTTCTTATCTCCATTCCAGGGAGTAAAGATTATGTAGCTTAAGCATGATTGTTCGTAGTTAAAGTGATTAATTACCGGCCTGGCACTTAGTTAAGAGGTTTTATTCCCTCCCTAACTTCAGGGGAAAATCCCTACCTGGGGAAATAACCTTTCTCAGAGACCTTGGTTAAAACACATAGTGCTAAGAAGGTGAGCAAACTATTAAGAACAGTATGCCATATATGCCAGGTCCCTAGAAACAGCAAGGATGGACTGGCTCCCGGCAATTATTCACAGAAATGATTTAAGTACAATTGTGGGATTTCTTAACAGTGTTTTGTTGCCAAGTTCAGCCTTACTTTTGTAGTGAGGTTCAAATTTTCAAGAACAAGAGAAAAGCCAGTTCTCCAAAGAGATAGCAGGTGTGTCGAATAAGACTCCCTCCATGTTCTGCCTGGAGTAGGGTTCGGTATCTGAAAGAGGAGCCGCACAGCAAATGAGAGAAAAAGACACGAGATAATTTTGCAATATTGGGGGACCAGGCAGCCAAGTCCCGAAGGACTTCCTCCCGTTCTCAGGCCTCACCAAGCTTTTATTGATTCTGGGTTGCACCCATAGCATAGCCCTTAGGCAGGTGACCCCTGGCAACAGGCAGACTAGCCCTTCAGCAAGGATTTACATAATAATAAATGGGGGAGTAGTTTCAGCTACCACTGTCTGGACAAACAGAGGTGGCGCCTAGCTGACCTCTGCTAGGGCTTCAAAGGCACCCAGCCTTCAGGGGTGTTCTCTGTCTATGTTTATCAGATAGTGAAGGCAATAAACAGTTTCCCACACAGGTGCATGATTTTGGCAACGAATATTCACACCATCCCCTTGTCTTTTGGAATTTTTATTCCCAAATCTGTCCTCAAAGAAGTAAAAGTTAAAATAAATACATTAATGAATTAACTAATCAATTAAAAGGGCTCTCTTGTCAATTATTATCTGCTCTCATCTCTGTATGGCCACAGGGATATCTAAATTCCTCACCCTGGATTATCTTTGATGTAACAAAGGATTGCAAGGTGGATATTACAGAGAGAGAGAGAGAGAGAGAGAGAGAGAGAGAGAGAGAGAGAGAGAAACCAGGCACACTTTTTTTTTCTGGGAGAGAGAGAGAGAGAGAGAGAGAGAGTGTGTGTGTGTGTGTGTGAAGTTGATCTAAATTTTCCCTTGGACCTCTGCCTTCCTTACTCTCCGTTGCTATGATGCATGGTGCTATGACTTACTAGCAATACTTCTCAATTATTGACAAATCAAATCCGGGAATTTTCAGTTATTGGAATTCTGGTCCTCCAATTCAGAATGAAGTCCGTAGTTACAAAGAAAAAAAGACCCGATGCTTAGATACCACATTTTTCAGGTCTTTGACACGACTGTCAAGACTGCTTAAGATCTGCCTCTGGTGAAGAGAGAGAGAGAGAGAGAGAGAGAGAGAGAGAGAGAGACCAGGCACACTTTTTTTTATTGTTTTCTCCTTATTGGCCTCACTCCCCAGTGGGCTGACAGACTAGGGCAGTCCCCAGGACTGAAGACAAGTCTGTTCTTCCTCCACTCCCTGCAGCCAAAGGGCAGGGAGGTGAAT